CACCTCAGCCTCCCAAAGGCGCGGGATTACAGGCTGAGCCACCGAGCCCGGCTCTGGTTTATATTTTTAAACCATAAAATGTTTTCAGTGAGTACTGTAGGCAGAAGTGCAGTCAAATTAATAGTTTTTTAAGATTATTTTTCCCTTATAATGATATTCTCTGAGAACTACTTTATACTGTTGTTGGTATTACTTGTTTATGGCTCCTTTTGTGTATCTTAATTTGCTTCTTGCTCTGTCCTATTTTGTGAACATGTAAAAGAATCTGAGTTTATTAATCCCAAATAGGTTGGGAATGTCTGGCAGCCAGATGCAGTAGATGTTCTTCAAGAACTGCTTTCAAAGAGAAAGGTGGAAATTCACATTATGGTAATTCATATTTAAAGCATATGTAGTTGGTTTAAATTATTTGCTATAAAATGTTATAACTAACATAGTTTGAGTAATTTTTTTGATGGTAAGCAATGTTATATATGTTCTTGTGTGAATATAAACTACTCATTAGCATAAGAGAAGTTACCACTTTCATTCCTAGGCTTGTTTTTAAAAAGCTTAGTTTTGAACACATTCCCAGGAAGTTTCATAATCATTAAAGTCAACAATTTGAAAGATTGTTTATTAACAACTTATTTTGGCACGGGGCAGGTGTTGGGAATATGCATAAACACGTATAGCAGTTTTCAAGATGTTGCTGTGTGTGTAGCACTGTGTCAGGTGCAGGTAGTAGTTCAGAGTCTGCCATGAGCCCTGTCCTCAAAGACTTTATCTAATTGTGAAACAAGACATAAATCTAAAAAATGTATACTATAAAGTAGCGCACCCAGAGCTAAGTGACAGGTGAAGAGAGTCTGTGTAGGAGGAGCTGTGAGATGGTGAGAAGTCAGTCTCCCTTAGAGAAAAGCCAGTCAAGTTCTCGTGCCTGGGAAATGATGGGCACAGAGCACTGGAGGAGTTTTGTAAGAAATGGCCCAACCCTGATGGGAATTATGAGGTTGTGCTGGTGGGTGAGGCTGGGGGGCGGGGCCAGCGGGTGGGCCAGCAGGGAGGTAATAGGGTTGCTTGCAGCTGTTGTATCTGAGACTCACATGAGAAGACAGGAAAGTGATGAGGAAAGCGTTTCTATCTTGAGGGGGCACATGCGACAGCGGTCTGTGTTGATGCTGGAGCAGATCAGTGTGAACTGCTTGTCTCTGCATTCTTGGCTAAACTAAGACCTCAGGCTCCCACAGCCCTGGGGCTGCCCTGCCGACGCGCCGAGCTGTCCAGTCTGGGCTCGGGCACTGCAGGGGCCTACAAGCGGCCCTCCTGGAGCCTCTGTTCACAGGGACATGGTGACATGGGGACGCGAGCCGGGAAAAAGAAGGAAAGTCTGGCGGTAGGGGTGCCGCCAGGAGCAGGCTCTGCTGTGTGCATCAGGGAGGGCCGCACGGAGGTACTTGAGTCCAGATCTCGAGCTCCCGGACAGAATGCAAAGTGCAGGCAAGCCCCTACACGAGGCAGGGACCAGAAGAAGCAGGAGCAGGCAGGGTCCAAACCAGAGTAAAGCTGGGAGTGGGGAGGAAGCGGGGAGAGCACGGTAGGGGGCCAGGGCTGGAGCGGGGAGAGGGGAGGAAGGGCGTCGGGGAGAATGGAGAAGGGGGGGAGGGAGGAAAAGGATTGGGGGAGAGGGGAGGGGCAGAGAGCAGGGAGGAGGACCAGGCAGGAGTGGCGAGAAGGAAGGGAGAAGGGGGTTGGAGAGAATGGGGAAGGAGCCAGGGAGCAGAGAGGGGGGAGGAGGGAGAGGGAGCCAGGGCAGGAGCAGGGAAAGGACTGGGCCAGGGGAGGAGGCCAGGGCGGGGAGAGGGATGAGGGGCAGGGGCCAGGCCCGCGGGGAGACAGCCTCTGCGGGAGGCGAGTGGCCAGCAGACACCGGAAGGGAGCAGCTCCTCGGCCTCTTCGCCAGCCAGTTTCAAAGTTTTGATGATTCCTGCTTTTACACTGTCAGTTTCCTCTGATTCCTGCCTGTGAGAAACACACTCACCTGTCCAAAATCAAAGAATGGACACGGAGAGACGGAGTACAGCAGAAGCGAGACTTTAATGGGGTATCTGGTAGGCAGGCATACCCCTGCAGCTACAGCAAGCATTTTATTCCCTAGCGTGCACACCCCCCCCACCCCCCGGGTTCCTTGTTCGTTGAGTACTGTGGGTTGTACAATCTTCCTGGATGTCGCCTAAGTTCCATTTTTTTCCCTCACAAGGTTATCCCTGGTTAAGTCTCTATTTTCTTAAGAATAGCGTGTTGTTTTCTCATTGGCCCATTTCCATCTCCTGTTTAGGAGCCTGCCAAGAGCTGGTGGCTGAAGATTGTTACATCCGCCATCTTGCTTAGACCGGCCTTGAAAATGAAGCATCAGAATGTTTCTTACAATGCTGTTCTTAGATTTTAATGAAACTTTATTTCTTCACCTCTTTTCTTCATCTTCTGTTTAGTATAAATTCTTAATGTCATCTAAAGGTGGTGTATCTAATGGAAGCTGTATTAGTAAGTTATTTTGTAGTAAATAGCTAGAAATAGATTTTACATAATCCAGGGTAGTATAATTACTGCCTCATAACCTGTCAAAACGCCAGCAAGAAAATTCTGTAAAATGACTCACTAGTCAGACTGTCTGGTAATACTGCAATTGACAGGATCCTAACTTCATATTTGCCGACTCAACATTTAGACATCAAATAGACTTTTATAATAATAATCGTTATTGAACTTAATAGGAATTACCAGAAAATCCATGGGAGAAATTATCTGTTCATCTTTACTTTGATGGAATGTCACTTTCTTATTTTATGGCACACTATAAATACTGTACTTCTGAACAGTCTGAGGAGGTATTGAAAGAAGTAAGTGAACTATTTTTCTATAAAAATGTAAACTATAGGAAAACAAATTCTGGTTAGAATTTATTTATACCTTATCTTAAATATGATTCCACATCTCTAATTCATTAAGTGTCTAGAGGACTTGTAAATTTTTTTGTGAGAAAGAAATACAGGCCAGGTGTGGTGGCTCACTCCTGTCAGACCAGTACTTTGGGAGGCAAAGGGAAGAGGATTGCCTGAGCCCTGAGATTCGAGACCAGCCTGGGCAACGTGGCCAGACCTCGTGTCTACAATAAATAAAAAAATTAGTGGGGCCGCATGCCTGTAGTTCCACTCAGGAGGTAAAAGGATACCTGAGCCCAGCAGGTCAAGGCTGTGGTGGCCATGAGTGTGCCACTGTACTCCATTATGGGGGACAGAGTGAAACCCCAACTCAAAAAAAATACACTGTATCATGCATCATAAATTATCTGAAAAATATATTAGTTACGTTAAGATTCAGTTAATGTTTGTGTACCTTCAAACCCAGTGCAATGCCTACATGTTATCCAGTGTTATTTCAATATACAGATAGATGCACATTTTAAAATCTGTATAGAATTCAATACCAGAAGAGGGCTCTTTTCCCAGATAAAATGTTTTTTCCCTTTAACTTGACATAAAAGCCGTATATTATAAAATTCCTCTCTTTTGCTTTCTCACTGGCAACTCAGGGCCACGTTTTGAGCTTAGCATCTGTAAATGGCCCATTCCTGTTGCCTGGTGTGTCTGTGTTTAATATCTTAAGAAGCATAATTAGCCTGTTACAGATATGGTTTCACATTTCAAGCTACTATAGATCCTTTATAGGAATAGGATATGCATCATAATATTAACATTTTATATCATAATATTTTTTATTTCTAGAGTTACAAACCAATTCACTGTTTAGGTTTTTTGTTGGTTTAAAGAGTCAGTCTTGCTCTGTTGCCCAGGCTGGAGTGCAGTGGTGCAATCATAACTCACTGCAGCCTTAAACTCCTGGGCTCAAGCAATCCTCCTGAGTTGCATAGTAGCCATGCCACTATGCCTGGCTAACTTTTTTCATTTTTTGTATAGATAAGCCTTGTCATGTTACTGAATCTGGTCTTGAAATCCTGACTCAAGTGACCCTCCTGCCTCAGTCCCAAAGTGCTGGGATTACAGATGTGAACCACTGTGTCCTGCCACCTGTTAGGTTTTTTTAAATATACATTTTGGTGATAGTACACAATCAAATATTGAGTGTTCTGTTCTATATAGAAAACAACTTTCTTATTTCATATAGAACTTGTAATGTTACTTTGTACTTGTAATCCTGACTGCTAACTTTTTCTTTAAAGAAGAGACGTGTATATATGTAAAAGGCATTCATCTACAAAGTGGGTTTTATAAAGATTACTTAGTCTCTCTCTTTTAGTTGTACTCTTCACTGTGAACAATTTAAAGGGACAGGTAAGAGCACCCACTCTTAGGATAAACAATAACCATTGACATGTGTTAGCAAAGTTTTGAGGATTCCTGTTGTCAAAAAATTAGTAAGATTACTCAGAATGTAGTTAATGTGAAATAACTAAATGAATGCCAGTGAGGACATGCAGCCAGTTTTTGTGGGGATGAAATATGAAAGTGTCTTAAAAAACAGTATTACATAGTCAAAGGTGGCTTTCTCGTTAACAATACTATATAATTTCAGAAACCAACAACAGATTACAATAAAAAGTATGAAGAGGAACAATGGGAAATAAGGTTTGAAGTAAGTAGCAATCCAAATATTTTGGAAACTTTGCACACTTCATAACATAAAGGATCTGATACAGGGCAGGAATAAGAGTTTTATTTTATAACAGCTTTATTGACATATTATTTATACTCCCTAGAATTCACTTTTTAAACATGTAATTCAGTGGTTTTTAGTATTATTCACTGATTTTTGCATCACTAATTACAGAACATTTCATTATCTCAAAGAAAAAGATTGCTGTGCTATAGCCACAGCAATCTTTCCCTATCCTGCCCTTCCCCTACCTCATGGCACCCACTTCTTCTGTCCCTGTGGACTTGCCTGTCCTGTAAATGGAATCTTAAGAATATGTGGTCTTTTGTCACTGGCTGTTTGCATAGCATTGTTTTCAAGGTTCTTGCATGTTGCAGCATGTGTCAGTCCTTTCCTTTTTATTACTAAATCAGATTCCATTGTATGGATAAGTTTTGTTTACTCATCATCTGTCGACACATGGGTTGTTTCCACCTTATGGTGATGGTAATAATGCTGTTGAGATTGTACAAGTTTGTGGATGCATTTTCCCTTCTCTTGGGTATATGCCTAGGAGTAGAATTACTGAGTCCCCTGGATAACTGTGTTTAACATTCTAAGGGACTCCAAGACTGCTTCCCAAAGTGGCAGCACCATCTTGCATTTGTGCCAATAACTTGCGAGAACCCCATTTTATCTACCTCCTCACAATGTCACCTCCCTCACTCCCTTCCTCCCGCTCTCCCTCCCTTTCTGTCTCTCTCTCATTGATTTTCAGAGATGGGCCTCACTGTGTTGTCCAGGCTGACCTCAAACCCTGGGCTCGAGTGATCATCCCTCCTTAGCCTCCCAATTAGCTGAAACTACAGGCACTCACCACCAAGCTTGGCTTTCAGTTTCTTTTCTTTTTTTTTTTTTTTAGTAGGAGTCTCACTGTCACTCAGGCTCGAGTCTAGTAGCCTGTTCATGACCACCGCAGCCTGGATCAACAATCCTTCCACCTCAGCATTCTAAGTAGCTGGAACCACAGGAGCATGCCACCACGTCTGGCTAATTTTTTGATTTACTGTAGAGACAAGTTCTCACCAAGTTGCCCGGGCTGGTCTCGAACCCCTGGGCTCAGGCAGTCCTCTCACCTCTGCCTCCCAAAGTGCTGGGATTACGGGTGTGAGCCACCGCACCTGACTTTCAGTTTCTTGATAGTGTCCTTTCAAACACCAGAGGTTTTTTTTTTTTTTTTTTTTTTTTAATGAAGTTCAGTTTATCTGTTTTTTCTTTATCATTTGTGCTTTTGGGTGCAGGAAGACTCTTAATAAGTACAACTTTGTAGTTTATTTTGTAGAATTTTATTCCTATGAATGAAATTCATGAAAATAACCTGTGCTTATTGTAAAGTACTTATTACTTTGTAACAAATTCAACAAAGTTTCAGCATTGGGTGGCAACTTTTTTCTGAATTTTTCTAGCTTTATTTTGCCACCAGTTTGAGAAGATTAAGTAATAATCAATTAACCTACAAATTAGAATATGATGCTTTTACTTCTTAAGATAATTAGCATGTTCTTTGAGAATAAAAAAAAAACTCTTAAGACATTCCTGGTATTTGCAGAAAAACATGCACCCAAATTTATATATATATATATTTGCTTCTAACAACTGCTAGGTGCTGTGATTCTCTTGGAAGTCACATAACTTTGGGATATTCCTTATATTTTCACAGAGCTTAAGAAAGAGCACACCTTTTTAGTATTTATTTATGATTAAATTTTATTCTAGCATTTAACCTATTATTTTAGTTTTTATCATAAAGTGCTTGTTCTTAAATGAGATACTGCAAAAATGTGTAAAGGAAGAAGGGTATGTTCCCCATGCTATGCCTCAGACACCCCTGTCCTGTTTGTTAGTAGCAGTTACTGCTGCCTGCTTGTTAACCATTTTTCTAGAAGTGTCTGGGTATATGTAGACTCATGCACATCAGTAAACGTCCGTGTATTTTTTTTTTTTTTTTTTTTTACACAAAAGTACTTTTTTTAAATTGGGGGACAAAATAATACTAAAGATCTGTGTTTGTCATCACATTTTGGCCCTGCCCCAACAAAGCCATCTGTGGTGTTCAGTATTGAAGAGTGCTTGCTTTCTGCTGATTGAAAGTAGATTGGCACCACAATAAATTTTTACAGTGTTGTAGCTTTTTGTAATTGTCATTCTGAAATTTGCATTTCTTTGTGGTGTTTTAGGAATTGCTTTCCTGTGAAGTAGAGACTCCTGTTTTACCACTGTATTTGTCTTCTTCGCTGCCTCCACCAGGAGAACTCTATGCTGTTGAAGTTAAGCATGTCGTCACCCCGGAGGAAGTATGTCACCTAAATGATTCCTTGGTGATTAAACACATAGCAGGGTGTCTTGGTCTTAAACACCAGGAGTGACTCTTCACTTCTCCATTTTCCTAACTTCCAGTAATTGAGAACTGGTGACCTCTAGTTGACCCACCCTATAATATCCTCTTTAGATATTTGTTAATATTTAAGGCAGGAGTTTCTTAAGCACCTGCTGGGTTCCCAGTGTTGTGTTGCTTTAATTTTATGTTTATATCAAGTATTCAGAGTTTTAAGGTGGAACCGTTTCCACCGATGACATCTTGAACATCTCACTCCCCTTCCCTATTCCTGCTCTGAGCATGGATGCTTTCTCCTGCCCTGTTTTCCACAACACCTAGCACCTTCAGACCCCTGGCGCCACTTTCCTATTCACTATGTTTGTCTCCCTCCCCCTGGAATATAACTCCATGAAGACTGTGTTGTTCACGGGTGAATTCCCAGAATCTAGAATAGTGCCTGATACATAGTAGGCACCCAGTTAATACTGACTAAATGAATGAATAAATGCACTAAGGAAAATTTGATTACTTGTTCTTGGCTAACGAGAGGAAGAAATCAATCACTTTGACAGCTCCTTCAGCCTTTTGTTTTGTTTTGTTTTGTTTTTTGAGTTGGAGTCTCATTCTGTTGCCCAGACTGGAGTGCAGTGGCCGCTCCCGGCCACCGCAGCCTCGACCTGCTGGACTCTGGCGATCCTTCCGCCTCAGCCTTCCAAGTAGCCAGAATTACAGGCATGCGCTACCATGCCCGGCTGATTTTTTGATTTATTGTAGAGATGAGGTCTCGCAGCCCAGGTGGGTCTTGAACCCGCGGGCTCAGGCAATCCACTCACCTCAGCCTCCCAAAGCACGGGATTACAGGCTGAGCCACCGAGCCCGGCCTTTTACACAGTGAGCCACTCTCATAGGCAAGGAGGATCTGCTCTCTAATTTCATCAGAGCATGGTTGTATACACTTCTTGTTGGTTTTTATAATTTTGTATTGGTCATTTACTGCAGCATCACAAATTACCCCAAACCTCAACACCCATGAGGGTCAGGAATCTGGGAGCTGCCTGAGTGCTCTAGCTCAGGAACTCTCATGCAGTTGCAATCATGATGTTGGCAAGAGCTGCAGCGTCCACTTCCAGAAAGATTAACATGGCTCCATCGGGGGAGACCTGTCTCATGCCAAGGCCTTTCAGGGTGTCTGCTCACAGCAAGGCTATGGCTTCCTGAACTCCCTGGCAGAATGTCACCATGACAGAAGTATGTATCTTCTGTAATATAGTGTTAGTCCCATACCCTCATGTCAGTCTTATTCTCTTGATCACAAGACTTGTGTGGTAGGATGTAGGGATGCACAAGGCATAAATTTCAGGGCCAAAGGTCACTGGGACCATCACTGGAGGCTGTTCTTCTGCCACAATAATTTAGTCCACATAAATATTAGAAATTCAGAATTTGAAAGCTTTTCCCTTCTTTCCTCCAACTAGGTGTATATTTGCCTTGGCTCTGTAGAATACTGTGATGAATATGCCCAGCATAGTGACACAGGTGAGAATGCAGTTGACGGGAAGCCAGAACCTGAGAGCCTCGATGATGCCCTGCAGAGGGTTAATAAAAATGTAGAGACATTTCCTCCTCCTATGGATTTTCGAGCAGGTACACTTAACCACTTTTTTAATGAAATTGACTATGTAACACAACTTGTTTTTTGTTCTCATGGGCTGATGAGGTTGGGCTGCTTCTAATGTTAACTGACATCTTCCTCATACTCTACATACATGACTTATTTGGAATCCTCAAGACACCCTGTAGACGACCTCTTTCCTGTTGTCTATCTGATGAGGAAGGTGAATGAAGAGTATCTCGCCTGCGGCACTTTCACTTTCCAAACTTAGGCTGTCTTAGAAAATTGCATAAAGATGGTTTTCTAAGTTTGAGGCTTCACCAGTAGTTGAAATTATGGAGAGTTGTCATTCAGACCTGAATGGCTATTCTCTTTATAAGCCACCAAAGATGATAATTTTGAGGTGGTGGCTCAGATTTTGTCCTGTTCTATCAGGACAGGTCAAATTCCTACTTTCTTTTTTTTTCAATTCATTCTTCTCACATTTATTAAATTAGTGTGATTTTTTCCTATGAGGAAAATGTGCCTAGTTAGTGCAGCATGTGAGACAGTGATGTATTCTTATTTTTAATTGGTTGTGACCTATTTTTTGCTGCTCTATAGCCCTTGCTGTTCCCTCTGCCTGGAATCTTCTTCCCCTAGACTGTAGGTCTCTGCTCAACTGCCCCTTGCTGAAGGTCTCCCTGACCACCTGTGTAAAGAAAAACCCACCCCCCTTCTCTGTCCCTTCTGCTCTTCTATTTAAAACAGCGCTGTGAGCAGGTGATTCTGTGTCACCAGTTATAAGGGCCTCGGCAGAAGCAGATGCTCATAAATACTGAATGAGTGAAAGAATAAGCTCATAATTTTTGAGGGGGTACACTTTATTTATAGTTTGGAATAAAAAATTCCTTCATTGTGTTTGTATCTCAAGGAAAATCACACAATCAATCTGCATAATGTGATAATTCACGGAGCTATACATATATTATGTGTGCATTTTGCTGAAGGTATTCTATACTTCAATAATATTTTATTTGTTTTTTTTTTTTTGAGTTGGAGTCTCACTCTGTCGCCCAGACTGGAGTGCAGTGGCCGC